CTCTCTCTCTCTCTCTCTCTCTCTCTCTCTCTCTCTCTCTCTCTCTCACACACACACACACATCTCACACACAGAAGAGACAGACAGAGAGTTACCAAGAGCTAGGGACCAAAGACTGAGGAAGAAAGAAACAGCATAACATGAATAGTAAAAGAGATGGAGACAGACAGGAATTTAGACACGCAGCAAAATATACAAGTCTTGGATCACCATGTTTTACGTTGGAAGCAGTCAATTAAATCTGAGCCGCCACATGGACACTAATATGCACCATAATATGCTAATTAAGTAATACAACCAGTCAATCACATGACAGGAAGGGTCCAGAAAGTCAAGTCAGACTTCTGTCCCCGATAATTGCTATTCTAAAATATGCTGAAAGGAAAACTACCATGTATTCCCAATGCTATCTTGTTTGTGTTGTTATATGTGTGGATGAGTTGTAAATATGTGTGAGCATACCATACATGTATATGCATAAAAGGCAGGCAGAGAGCAGATAAGAAATACAACTTAAAGAGTGTGATATACCTTGGTATTGAGCACTGAATCCTTTTCTTCGATGGTTGCTATCTGAGGTGAAATGTATCCGGAGCCAGTTCTTACTTGATATCACCGGTGAGGGCAGGGTTGTACCAGTCAGCCTGGAGGTAAGCAAATCAGAAATAATCCATAAAAAACACAACAAAAAACAAACAGAAGTAGTAGAAGAACGTAGCCAGAGGACAATAGAGATTAATCATCCCATGTATTAACTACTGTATCTAGAATGTGTCAGCCTTTCCAACTTAGAGTTTACTTGGACTGACTTTTTGCTCCTTAGTATTTATAACATACTTAATGAAATTCAGCAGATAGACAAGGCACATGGGAAAGAAAAGGTATGATGTAACAAAACTCAAGCTCTTGTTGTTGCAGATCCACAGTAGTCACCTTTTCTAGTGAAAAAGGGTATGTTCTATTGTGCATTATGTTAGTATTGTGCACCATATGTCATTTTCTACAATGCTGGTAAATATCACAAAAATAGAGAGACTATGTCCTCTTCCAGAGACGAATATTGTTTGTTATAACTTTCGGTTACAGTACGTGCACTCGGTTCATGGATCTAGCATGGAAGACGAGCTTATACATTTCAATTTAAGGTAGAAAAACATCTCTAACAAAAATACAATTGTTAGAAGAAAGAGCTTCAACATGCTGCCATGTAATTGCAGATTACAGTATAATAGATTGCAGCAACCACTGCTGTGAAATCCCCCAGCACAAAAAAAAAAATCAAAAATACACTACAGCATACAATGCAGAACACATAGAAGTGTGAATAACTCTATGATCTAAATTACTTCATCCGATTACCTGTGAATAAAAAAAAAAATCCTTTTATGAAGCAGAACTTTCCAAAGAGTTCAAAGTATGATGTTGATGTCAATTTGCATTGTCCTCCAAGGTGCAAAGGCTGGCTGTAATTCAAAGAGATTTTAGCTGAAAGGCAATTTGTTCCACTGGCTTGTAAAATGTGTACCAGGGAATGGAATGAGTGATATTTTCCCTTCCCATAATGATCGGCACTGACCAGAAGCAGAGCACTGTGCTTGCACTGGGTACGGTACAACTCCCACTCCCTCCCAAGTGTGTTTAACTGAAGGAATATTCAACAAATCTTTCCTTGGAAAGAAAAGTGAAAATGCACTAATATGTCTGTTCACTGATTGATTGGAAAGCAACATAAAGACATTTTGAAGACAACATAGTGAAGTATTAGAAAGTCGGCAAAGTTCACATCTTCAAAAACACTTTTAAATCATCACCACTGAGACAATGAGTTGGTTGCCTATGGTAAGTCTTACATCAGCTTTCGCTGCTCTCACATTTTGTTAGGAACGGCAACCACAGCAGTGGTAAAGAATGATTTTAAAATGTTGGGGAAATGGTGCACTGAGACAAAAAGGAAATGATGTAAGAGACTGCCTGGAAGCCAATGTTCTACCATCCTCCCTAGAGCAACGAGAGCCACTGTAACTGCCCTTCAATAATGCCGCAGGTATACTGAGTAGATAGAGAGAGGGAGGGAGGAAGAGACAAAATACATATGAGAAGCGGTAAAAACAATATGAAGAGTCCATGTTAAAGGACTTAATTGAGTGCTTATTATTGGAGACATTAAGTTCTGTCTCTGTGAATACAGTTAAATGAAAAAAAAGCAAACAATGAATATGAAGAATGTCCGATGAGACAAAAGCACTGTCAATGTGGCGTACTGGAGACAAACTGTTTGGTATACACATCATACTGACTATAGTAGAGCAATATGTAGTCAACTAGCGGTCTTTATTAGTTAATGTGATTAAATAGCCATGCATGTAGTGTGACATTATGACATACGTATGTGAGATAAGAGAATAAGCACCAGAAAAGTTGTGGGGATTTTTGAGGGCACCATAGTGCATAAATGTCGGTCCTAAATCAAATGGTGGACAGTGAATATAATGCACTATATACTATATTCAAAGTTCTGCACCTGACCCTGACGTATGAACTCAATGTATGGTGTGTGAGCAAAAATGAGGTGCATCCCTACTCACACCAATTAAGTATTATATTATTAAGCTTTTTATTTAAGTATGAATTCATTTTTCTTAAGTTTCAATGCACTTTCACCCTGGTTATGTTTGTAAGTTTGTGTTTTTTTCTCATCCTCTATACTTCAGCGGGATTAAGGGAAAAGGTCTCAGACAATAAATAAGGTTCATATGGTGAAACAGCTTCATTGGCTTTTCTGCTTTGCCTGAAGTCAGTCCACATTTGAATAAAAGTTGGGAGGAAAACTGAATACATTTCAATGAAAAAGCGGAAGTCAATGAAAGAGACGTTAGTGATTTTTTATATTGAAGTTATGTAAAAATGACAATGAATGACAACTACAGGGGGAGAATCAATATTCGATCAGCTTACATACATTATCAGAATAATATATATTGTATACATGACAATGAATTCATGTTTAAGGGACACAAGTTGGCAGTAATAAGCAGCTTGTTGAAAACCTATCTATTTTAATGCTTGTCAGATGGGCACGACTCATCTAATCATATCAATGAACAGTAAAGACCGTTTACAACGAACCAGTGTTTAAAAGGACAATAAAATAGGGAAGTCTAAAAAGTAGAGAGAGAAACAGATAAAAAATGAGAGGTATGTTGCATCTCTTCAATTATTCATGAGGACTGGCCAGCTGTCTGACATTGGAATGAGGGAGAGACAAGAGGTCAGAGAGGAGGAGGAGAGAGGGATGAGACATGAGACTGAACTGAAAGGGAAGAAAGAAGGACAAAATGAGAAGAGGGGAAAGTGATAAACGTTTCAAAGAAGAAAGCCTAAGTTACTGAAAATAATATACATGAAGGGTAACAGAGGAGAGAAGACAGGTTGGACAGTAACCAGTGAAGCAGGTTATTGGACGAAAAGCAGAAATGTGAGACTAACGGGAATTTACAAGGTGAAAGAAAGTAGAGAAGAAAGAGGACAGGGAAAAACATGCGAGAAAACAGGAGCTGATGGATGAAGAACAAGGGAGAGGAGGTGAGAAAAGGAAATTCACTTAAATGAACAGAGAGAGAGAGAGAGGTTACACAAGCCGTGAGGAGAGGTTGCAATTTAAGAAAGGGAAGGCAAGGAGGCATGTCTAAATGACGTTGGACATTACAAATACGAGGTTGCAAAGGATAGAGATAAATGAGAAAGCAGTGACTGGAGAAAGGAGGGGATGGAGAACAGAAAAGAAGAAAGATAATTGAAAGTTTCACATAAAGATATAACTTAGATGAGGATAAAACAAAGAGGAAGGTGTACAAGATATGAGTGGCGAGGTTTGGCAGACCTGACGATAGGAAAAGAGAGGCCAAGTCACAAAACACAGAGGAGAGGGGGACAAAGAAACCTAGAGCAGGTATTTATGTGCACCTCTCTATAATTAGACCACACGCTTTTTGGTGATACATGAACATCACAAAGAAACAGATATAACTTTCTACTGTCTGGGCACTGTTGTTTTGGACCTGGTCCTCCATATTGGCTGCTTGGATTGCTGGCAATGCTTTATTTTAAGTGTAATCTACTGCGTCACAAGTCCATGTGAATGTGAGCACCTGCAAAATGAAAAAAGGCTCTGTAAAAATAAATGATTGGAAACAAGTCAAAAAAGTTGGAAAGCGCATTATCCACAACAGATAGCTGTTTATTCCAAGTGCTTAGTGCAAAACCCTGGTACACTGGTACTTTTAATCTCATAACACGCCCACGCACTCAAACGGAAACACACTCACACGCACACGTACGCACACTTGAGACAATGTTACCCAGAGATTTCTGTCTGCAAAAGTACGAGGTGTCAGAACAATCAAGTTTCTTCAAGCGAGGCGAGGTGGACTCCTTCTTTGTGTTTGTATTAAACATTAGCAGCAGTGACATTAGCTTGGTGTTTCTGATGTTTGCGGATGATGTTGTCCTTAAGGGTTCATCAGACTATTATCTCTGATTCCCCTGGAGAGGTTTAGTGTGTTTGGCTTTGGATAAGAATCAGCAGCTTCATGGCTGAGACCATTCAGTAGTTGTTTGCTTGTTCCATGAAGATGAGCAACTGCCTTGGGGCAAAATGTTGAGGAAACTTGGAGTTGACCATAGCGCACAACCCCTGCCACCCCTCTATCCATGCTTTACCCTCCTCACCTCTTGCCACATTATGGGGAACAGCAAATTTCCTCGACGAGCACATTGAAGAATGAATCTGAACCTACACACAGACACAATCCATAACTCCCACTGCTAGTTGTTTGCATTGGTGACAATAAGTAGTCAAAAATGAGATTGTAATGGGGATGGCTGATCTGACACTTCATGAGTGTAAGAATGAAAGAAGTCTGCTGGCAAACAGCAAGACCTTGATGTTGATTAAAAGGAACCATTTTAGGCAGTTCTGGCAAATGGTAAAAAAGTGTTGCCAGCCTACTGAGAGGGGGCTCTGAGGGAAAACCAGGACCAGCAAGTGAGGCTACATCTCTCCCATGGCCTTAACTGTCACTACGGATCCCTCAGAAGAAGCTGGAAGAGCTTCCCACAAAAGTAACATCTGGGCTGCTCTTCTTATGCTGTTTCCAATCAATGAACAAACTGTGCCTTGGTTAAATGACTAGAAAATGACCTGGGTAAGCAAATAGAAAATGGATGACTGAATGGAAATTACTTTGCATCAACAATTTCTATTGCAGCCAATAAAGTAATTAAAAATGAAACTCTGTGTGTGTGTGTGTGTGTGTGTGGGAGAGAGAGAGAGAGAGAGAGAGAGAGAGAGAGAGAGAGAGAGAGACATGATGGCGATAAAGAGAAAAATCTGAGGTAATAGAAAAGAGAAGAGAATAAAAATAGAGCGCAAAGGGATAGTAAACTGCTTACAGTCTCCCCTTTAATACAACCCTTCCAGAAAACTGCATGTTTACTTACTGGCCTGTAGTCTGTATGAAAACGACTTATTTGTTTGTTCAAAATAACTGGTTTCCTTTGGTTGAAAGTGGCACAGAGCTGAATGCTAACATACTCACCTTAGTTTAGCATGTTAGCATGCTAACATTTGCAAAGTACAGCTAAGGCTGATAGGATTGTTATTAGCTTAGCAGATATTTTGTCGTATAACAAAGTTTTAGACAAATTAAAATTGTAACCGAATGATAGTGCTGGATTGAAAGTTAAGTGAACACAAAACGTATTACAATTCTGCCTGAGAGAGACATGAATGTGCCTACCAAATTTCATGGCAATCCATCCAAAACTGTGAAGAAATGTCACTGAAAACCAGTAACATCAACATGCTGGTGTCATTAAAGGAAAAGTTATGGCTTTACCAAAGTCATTAAGATTCATTCTCAGGGGATCGTCACTATCAGTACCAACTTTCTGTCAGGATGGCTAAACGGGTGGAAAATGGGTTAAACAGGCAAGTGACTGAATGTGAGACTGCACTTCTCGCAGGTGTCATGTATTACGGAAGGAGACATGTGGGTAGTAGTCTCTCCATCATGTCAAGTGAGTGACCCTGTCACTCAATTTAAGGAATAATTGGCAATTCGGGCCCCTAATTCAGTTAGAAGTGGGATCGGAAAGGATTCATTTAATGTGACAATTCAGAGATTCCATCAGTCTCTTTAAATCACCATAACAAACTTGACTCTCATGGTGATGATACATTACAGCAAATGTTTGAGTTTTCATTACGGGCAACTGGGTTAAAATCAATGTGAATAATGTAGTAAGCAATGAGGAACCAAATATGATAATCACTGTTGGCCGTGCTTCTTGGATATAATGGCCTTTAGCATAGTAATAATTCATTCAGTTGAAGAAAGAAAATGACAGAGCACCATTGGCCTTTAAGCATTTCGTTGTGTGTCTTGTGTTTTGATGGACTGAGATAAAAGGGGAAAGGAGGACAGATAGTGGGGAGAGAACGAGCGAAGAAGGGATAGCCGGAGGGAGAGTTGAGAATGCAGAGAAAAAGGAAAGAAGGAAAAAAGGGTGGAAGGGTAGAGGTTATGTTGTAGACAGGAGAAGTAAGGTTTAAAAGCAGGAAATATCTGCTAAACATAATTCAACTGAATAAGTAAGTAATCAGGTAGAAAATCTGTTCAGATTTGAAGATATCAGCTGTAACAACAAAACAGATAACAGTCTATATGTATATTAGATTTTATTCAGGATTAGCTATTCATGTGTTCTAAATGTTCAGGTCACCAAGACTGTGGTGCACAAAAATAAAAACTCGGTAAAAACAGTGAAAAGCCTGTGTATCATATATCAAATAGCCAAATAAAGAATTCTCAGTGTCTCCTCCACAAAAGACAGCCCTGCTGTTGCTCTGAGAAACTGGTGGTTTTACCTCAGATTATCAGCTTTCTAAAAAAAGACTTCTGGATTTAGTTTACTTGTCAGATTACTTGTTTCCCAGAAGAATGAGGAACGTCATATTGATTCATGGAAGTCACGTGCAAATACATGCACTGAGAGGGACCGTTGTGTGACCCGTTGACATTTCACTTGCTAAATAGCAAATGAAAAGAAATGCATACAATAAGCCATACAATGCAATAAAGCCATTCGACCTCAGTAGGCACCAGCAACACAAATGCCTGGAAGTCTTCTGCCTTCCTGACCCCTCTTATTTCGTATCCCAGTTGTCTGCATTCATTTTCTATCCCATACTCCGTGCAGTCTTCTTTATATTTCACGAATAATCCGGGTGAAATAAAGTTCACATTAGCCAGTAACTGCACTCTTTTGGCAGCATTAAAGCGTAGCAGGTCAGTTGAAGCCTGAAAACTGGGTATCCAGGACATAATCAAACAAATTAGACAAAAGTTTTTTTTTAAGAGTATGATAGTTTAGTGGTCCAAAAGCAGGATATAAGGAATGAAATAAGATGATATGGCCATAATTCTATTCTGACTGGAATCAAATCATCACTTTGTCCAGTGGGTCAAAAGTCAAATCAATCAGGCACTTATATAAGTTTGTGTCTCTGTGTGTGTGTGTGTGTGTGTGTGTGTGTGTGTGTGTGTGTCAACCAGTCAACCCGACATTCAAACTGCCAGATAGCAGACAGGAACATAAAACAGGAAATTGCTTTTGGGACAGCCAATCAGAAAAAGCTCACGGTAAACAGGAAGAACCCGTCACAGTGGTCCTGTCAGGTGTCAGTCATTTCACAATGACCTGCCCACATGCCTCAGTGTGAATGTCATTCATCGCTTAATCCCACCTCAGGAGAAAAGGATTTAGGATTGTAAAAGATACAGAAGCCCATTTAGGTTTATTTTCATATAATATATTCATATAATTACATTGTTTTAGGCCATTGTTTTATTGAACTTTCATTCAATTTACAAGGCATCTGAGTGACCTTTGGCGCCTTACATTGGGACCTTTGTTGTATACCCCCTTTCTCGCTTCCTCTCTGTTTTTGACCTGTCACATACATAAATCATAAAAATCATTTAAAAAAATGCAAAAGACAAAAACACATACATAACTACTGTTATTGTTGCGCACTAGAGGATATCAAAATAAGTTTACTCTGTTGGTAAACCTTGTACACATTTTAAAATGCAAATTATGTTTCTCATATCATTTCATACTTCTGTAGTGTTTATCTGAGAACTTAAATCAGATATTCCTTGAAATGACTTTAATGAATCCTTCAACAAATATAAAATGAAACACGAGGTGTTGCATCAAAAGGCTCCAGTTGCTGCAGTCACTCTTTTCCATGGGATAAAACGTTGGGTGTGCTCCGTATCTTCCCCCTGCATTGCAGAGGGTGGGTTGACAGTGGTCCTTGAATGTTATACTGTCGGAGACAAGCTATGTGTGTATGTGTGTGCAAACTTGAGTGTGTGTAATCTGTCAGAGCCTAAAGAAAAGATCAACAGCTCACACAGCTAGAGGGCCACTTAAGACCTGACACTGACACGCACGCTGTATCATGAGGATGCGGTGGCTGATGTGTACCGCTCTGCTGGTGACAGGACTAAACATGCAATTATTCTCCATTCCTTTTGTTTCCAACTGGTGCTCTCCTTCATTTATGTATCTGTCAACCTATCACTCTGTTCTTCTGCAAGTTGGGCCACAATCATGAACCATTTCCTCACATGGAAGACAATGTCATCTATCAGTGGAAGTCAGGAGGACGTTTAAAATGGGAGGCGGTTTCTGCAGGACATGGTGACGTATAAATGCTTTTTAGGAATCATATATATACCAGGGAGAGTTGAGAGGTGAGATTAATAAAAAACAAGATTCTAAAATTATATTGCCACTTGAGAATGCCATGTGAGCTTGTGCAGTTTTACTGATGATTTCTTCATTTGCAGTGATTTTCTTTAGTGTTCATTTTTAGCCGTATCTATGACACACTGAAAACCAGGAGTCCACTACCTTCGACTTCTGAGCAGCCTTGACTCACAGGTATGCATGTTGTTATTACTGAGGGAGGCCAAACTGCTTTCCCCTCTCTAGATTGCCCAAGCATTTACAGCAACTTGAAACAGCGACAACCCTGCGTGCCCAACAGTTAAGCTGTCTCCAACCCTGCCAAAACACACCTAAACCTTTACTGGAGATGTGTTATATTCGAAACAAATCAACATGAATACCAACAGCGCTCTAAATGTAAAAAGCAGAGTGGGTTCTTGTACAACATAGTGCCAATTTTCAAATGTGACCACAGGAAATGGGAGTGAAAACAACAATTTATCGCCTTCCCTGTGGGATTTGAATAAAACAGGGAAATCAACAGGACTCCTGTGCAGCTAATCAATCAGTAGTTGTATCTGTCCTCCTGAACAACATCCTTAGTCCTCTTTTAATGCCCCCCTTGCAAGTTAGAGAAGAATGCAGTGAAAACAACAACTGTTCTCTATATTGTGAACACGTAAGCCCACAAAACAATAATGCTTCCAGGCTTCTAATTCTTTAAGAGTAGAATTATGTGTCCCAACCTGAAACGCAGAACAAGGCTGCGGCTTCTTGTGTGTGTGTTTGTTGTCCTCTAGCTCTGAAACACAAATGCTAAGTACATGCTATTCACCTTTCAAATGTCAGTGGTGACTGTGTGTGTGTGTCTGTTTTTATTATGGTCCAACTCAGCATGTGGTGTCACTCCTGCTGTTTTTTACAAAGACTTGTTTGCCCTCCAACATGACTATTTATCTACTCGACATTGTAGTCTGCTTATAGAATGTATCTCACCATATGCTTGGTGCGTCTGTCCCGCTGATTTCCAGGAAGTCGTACTTGTCCTCTAATAAGAAGTCGTTGAAGACGAGAGCTATAGTGTCCCCGGGTTCGGAGAGGATTGACCACGTACAGTCCAGGTTGTTGTCATACTCTGCAGGGTATCCAGGGCTGGTTATTGAACCTGCAGTGCCTCGCAACGTACCGCCACATGCTCCCTCCGCTGGAGAGAGGTAAGGATAAGAAGACAGGTAGGTTTTATATTTCAAACTCTGGTTTTGGTGCATCCCCTCCTGGGTTGGCTTGATCATTTCCGAGTTATCTGTTATAGAATTTTATTCATTAAAGAAAATTGTGGAAAAAAAACAACAATATTCACAAGAGTTATTTCCCTTGTTCATTTCTTGTGTGCATACAATTCAAATTGTTATATTGTTACTTTATTCAGATTGTAATTTGTAAATGTGTTGACTGCGTTATTCTGTATGAAAGGTGCTATTGAAATTAAGTTTTCATTAACTGTTTGTTTGCATGGTAAGTTCAATATTCTGCTTCACAATGATAGGAAGAGCCGACATCGAAGGATCAAAGGATCGAAGGATCATTGCGTACAATTGTGTATGCAATGTATGTACTTAGATTCATTGATTTTGAGATAAATTAACACAATTCACGTTAATAAGAATATTGCAACTAAAACAATAATATTGTCATTTTCATCCTCATCCTGAATTCTATCATAGTTACGTCTTCAAACTCTTAACAAAGTAATTAATGTGAAAAAAGGAAATATTATACATCAGCAAGAAAGCAGAAAGCCAATCATTTAATTGAATCCTCTGAAAAACAAAACAAAATATTAAAGTGTGCTTTTCAGTGATGCATCACAAGATACGGAATCACTGAGCTGAGCTGTTCAACCATCCACTGGCGCTGATGGTTAAAACCTGGACATAACTGTTCTAGTCTGTAGACTAATGAACTAATGAACTAATGGCTTTGTTTGAGAATGTTAGGCTCCATCTGGTTCTGGTTTGTTAAGCTGTGCTTTAAAAGTAATCAATACATTGCAGCTTCCATCTTCCTCCGGCCTGTGACCTGTGACCTCATGTTAAGGTCCTTCAATTCTCATGGCCCAAACAATTGTTTATTTTTCCTTACATTTTATTCTGCTTTTCTTGTTTGGCATTATGAATTTCACTTGTTGTGTTTTGGGACATGCAAGTTGTCATGAAAGGTATGAGATATTTGTATGATCTATTTCAAGAACGAGAGGAAATGGCTTCAATGCGGACATATAGAAGGGAGAAGAATACAATAAAGAAAGGAAAAAGATAGACAAAAAGAACACAAACAGACAGAAAGACTGAAGGAACGAAGGGAAGAAAGAAGAAGAAAGAAGAAAACATCTTACCTCTACAAAATGGTGACGGGAAGTCCCACTGTGCTCCACTGCCAGCTGACACAATACACGTGAGGATACTGTGTCCTTCCAATACAAAACCTGACTCACAGCTGTATCGGATCTTGGCCCCCATGTTGTACCGCGAGCCATGAATAACCCCATTTGGGATGAGGCCGGGGGTGCCACATGTGTGGCTGGGCAAGACTGAAACACAAAGGAAAAAAACAGAGACAATTAAACTTAATTATATCATATCTAAAATAAAACAGAACAAATAATATCTAATCGCATATGTCTATGAGGTAAAGGCATGTTGAATCAAAGACTGATTTCAGCTTCTCTGAATGTTTCATTTGAAACATTTTTACTTGCCAGAAGAGCAAACTATAAAAAAAAGTTCCCAAGAAAAAAGCAAAGAAAGTAGCAAGTATTTTCTCCTGACCCCCAGGTTAAGAGCCATTGATATAGGATCCATGTTTCAACAACAGTTTTAACAATATCTCTTGAATGTAAATTGGTAAATTATGTGATGATTCACATAACTCTGAATGTCAAACAAATCTCAGAATATCAACAACGATTTACATATGAATCATTCCTATTCACAGTGGAAACTGACCAAATATTAACCATCAGAATCAAAAACGTAAAAAAAGAAAGATGTGTATGTTTGGTTCCCTAGGAACCTAAAAATATGTGGAAGTGACTGAGTGGTATTTAGATGTCTGGCTACAATTTCCTTCTCCAATGTGCATCTGTTGTTGCCCGTTCTTAGATGACACAGCTCTACAGTGGGAGCAGCTAAAGGCAGCTCATGGTCTAACCAGGCCAATATCAATCTGTGACTGTTGCCAACAGCTCTACAGAAGGGGCATCAGCACAGTACAACCTGGATGATCTCCACAGTATCTGACCCCGGTGTACACTGTGTGCTGTGTGTATTTGTATAACTGGAGCATGTTAACTTGCTGGGTGTGTACTGTGTGCATGTAATGTGTATCCAAATGGCTAATTTTAATGTGTGCGCGTATGTGCATGCACAGTGCAGTGAGTCTACACGTAAGGGGGTGTTCAGTCAGTCAATCTGTGTGTTTGTGGATGCTGTTCCAATTAAACGCTAGCATGGTAATTAGACAAAGCTTCACCATGAGACCCTGAGAACTAGGACAGAGAGAAAGAGGGAGGGGTGTGGGGTTAGAGGAAGACAAAGAAGAAGAGGAAGCGGAGAAAGGAGGATGTAGAGATAGACAGGAGACAGGAGAAAGAAGAGGGGGAAAGAGTAGCAACAGAATGATGGAGGGGGGGAGAGGAGGAGGAGGAGACAGGAAAGGGTACAGACGAAGACTCCAGTCAGACAGGAAAAGAGAGAGGTGAACTAATTACAGTGGGCCCTAAACATGTATAATTTACACTAATTGACTCATTATTCGGATTGTATGAAGTCATGCATCAGAGGCAAGTTACTCACACTCAGCTGACCATGCCGTCCTCTGTGCAAACATGCTGCCTGTTCTGTTTTAACAAGGTAGGACACACAATCAAGTTCAGAACCCAAACTAAAGCACTGACTGAAGGATGGGAAGAAGGGGGAAAAGAGAAAGCGAGAATGAGATAAGCAACGGAAAGAAGAGAGGATTTAAAAAAAGAATGCGTCTGAGCCAAGTCATTAGTCACACTTATGTGACCGTACAGTCCTGTCTGCCAGGTGAGCCAGCTTGGTACACAAAGGTATTCCCTCATTTAGACTGATGTCTGAAATAATCAGGGGGTATTTGGGAAGGATAGTGTTCACAAGTGTTGTCAGTATCCAGCTAGCTACATTTTAATTTCGGCAATAAAGTGTTCTCTTTTCAGCCATAAAATATTGAACAGTAGAGTCTGGTTTGCTGGGACTAGACTTTTAAAATCACAACATAATATTTGGGTTGTTGTTCAAAACTGTGTATTGAATGCAGTGCTGAAGTAGGATGAGTGTGAGATACAGTAGATGAAGTGTAGCTTAATTTTGGCAACATTTGGCAGCTGACATTACCCACTTCTAAAGGACTTCATATTCATATACATGTTTGCTGCAGGTGATGGCTTTATAGCTGCATTTAAAGGGATTTGATATTAAAGGAATAGTCCTCAGAACCACAATTGTTTGTTTTAGGCAGCAATCCATCGTTGCTATAACGAGTAAATGATATTGAAATGCTGGAGTTTAATATGGACAGCTCCTGGTGTTGAAATGAAGTCTATTAAAGTTACCAAACAAATAACAGAAACAAATGAAAATGTTTGACTTTAATCAAACAACGCTGTCTTTTTAATTCAAATGCAAATTGCATTCTCCTGTTTTTACTCCAAATAGAAATAAATTAGCATGTTACAAAAATAGATAATCATGAGATATTTTTTAACAGCACCAGCTTTAATGCTAAGAAGACACATTGCTGATGGCACTGCCTAATACAGGTAATATAATACCTCTGTGCCCATGCAGTAGCTTAGTGCAATGGCAGACCTAAATTGTTTAGAAAGATAATGTCTGATTCCTCTAGGTCCAGGGGTGCCCAATACGTCGATCGAGGTAGTGCGGGTAGATCGCATGCCATTCAAAAAAAATTAGATGTCCGCATTGCATTTTCCACTTGATTTTCTAACACACGGGTCACCACGTATGCGCGGTCAACCGCGCGAGCTACTGCAAAACTCCTGCGAGCTAATTAGTTAGCCTTCCAATTTATTTCTACTAAAGAAGCTAAAGCTGCAGCGCCATGATTTTTGGAAACTTCCAAAACCTGGCGTCAGAACTGGAGACTCAACGGAAGGCGTGTGCGTAACTTGACAGTGCGCGCTACACAGAGCAGATTGACAAGTGTCTGTCAGAGTTTGACAAACGCTTTCGAGACTTTGCTTTACTCGAGCCAGTTGCTACACTTATGTGCTGCACATTTCGGGAAGATATTGAGGTTGATTCACTCGCATCAAAAATTGCAACGCTGTTTCACCTGAACTCCTCTGGAGTGGAGGATGAGATTTTGACACTGCAAGCTGACATTCAGCTGTATATATATATATATATATATATATATATATATATATATATATATATTCAGCATTTTTAATGTAGGTAGATGATTTTGACTTGGTCATTTTAAAAGTAGCTCGCAAGCCGAAGAAGTGTGGGCACCCCTGCTCTAGGTGTACTATATGGGCTGTACTGTAGGTCTAAGCAGGGCTTAATACAGAATGCACGCACTCATGCTATGGTAAGACGATTTTAAACACAGACCGTGATAAATATAAGTGTTACACTTTTGTCTCCACCTGACCTAATTGTTGTCTCTTGTCTTGAATGTTTCGATCAATATTCATAAGACAATCAGTGAGTTATTTTCACTACAAATTCAGATAACAAAAGATAAATTGCTTGTTTAATGTTGCCATCAATAATCACTATTATCTCCAGTTACTGCAACTTCTTATTTACAAGGTAGATGGTGAGAGTAATACTGGCTTTGTGCACACAGTGCTTTCATTTGTTTGCCTTGTTTTTAATCAGCACTATACTAATTTGTTTAGCTGTAACCTCATGCCAGGGAAAGTTCACATTAGCCGCTTGCAATTGTATTCAGGAGCATAATCACTTTGATTACTTAATATTGGATGACTCTTTTGTTTTTAATTTTATTTAATTCTAACAATTTGCAAGTCAAGGTCATTTGGGGTTATTTCACGAAAAAACGTGCATTACAATAATGGACCAATCGGAATACTAAACATGGTCAGATGTGTACAAGGAACTGCTGTTTGTTCATGATGAGCACAGAGAACAGTGCAGTCCTCATTATCTCATTACAGCTGATTTAGTAGGAATTAAATGTTCCAAACACAGAAGTACAGCACACACAATGTTTCACATCACTTAAAATGTTTACAATCTTAGATACAAAGATACAAAATTACTGTATATCTGAAATCAAAAGCTTGTTGCTGGGGTGGTACTCTATATCGCCTTTCCTTGCAAGTTAATTCACAATTATGCATCCAGATTACTATATTATACTATATTACAGCCCTGCACTTCCCTCCTGGAACTTTCACTGTTACAGTATAGTATATAATTATAGTCATAGTGACTCTGTCGATAGCCATGTGTTTCCTTCTACACCAACCTGGTCCGACTCCAACTAAAACGCTGTCAGTCAGTGCCACTTACTCAGTCAATCAAGTTACCCTCCAGCACATTATTTTCCTAAACCTAGCAATGTGGTGTGTTACCTAAACCTAACTTCCTGTGAAGACGGAAGTTTATCTTAAAAAGACACTATTCATGTTACGAGTGGACACTGACACGTTCCTGCCACGTCCATAACTGATGTTAGAAGGATCAAGGTTTGAAACCAAGCGTTTGAGATGTCTGTGTGTTGGTGGGGAAGGACTTTTTCCACTTGCACCACCCACCATCAATGGAGTAACTTTCTGAGTGTGTGTGTGTGTGTGTGTGTGTGACGGATGACACTCCTCTGTTGCAGCTGTCCCTTTCGGCCCTTCACAGCCTTAGGGCAGGTCAGCGTGTTGCTATGGTAAATCTGGGACAGGGCAACATTTTAATAGTGATACAGAAGTGAGGAGCGGGTGAGAGGTGATGACATCAAGGCTAAGCGGCACTGACGCTAGCATTCAAAGTGCGGTGAATGTGAGAGAAGACTACAAAGAGGAAGGACAGAGAAAGAGTTACGAGAGGAAGGAAAACTTGTGTTAACCCCAGACATGGTCTGCCTTTCTAAGTTAGTGTTCAGTTGGAACCGTGTCTACATTGAAAATGTATCTGTCTATGTGTCCGGCCTAAAACAGTTACTACTGAAAAAAAGTTCCTTAAGCAAGGTCCTCTGCACTTCCTCTACAATGCTCTCTCCTACAGTATAAATATGCAGTGACACATATGTAACCATCCACCAAAAATAGCAAAGCAAACAGCTGCTTGAATCTGTTATTGATGCACTTGCTACTGGATAGAAGCCAGCCATCATAACCTCTTGCTTTCCCCCTGTGGTTAAAATGCAGTGCACTAGGGGCATACAAACAATAATTCAATTCCAAATAGAACATTCAATGCAAATTAATTTATATTAAATACAAATGTATAAATACTCGACTCGTTTTATTCGGTGATAATCGTGCATACTGTATTTATTCCAAGAGATTGTGTGAGCGAT